CAATGCTATTGTTAATGGGACTTTGATTTTAGTGACCGAATGCCAAGAATGTTTTTAAACACTCTGTTATCCTTCCCATCACATTAGATCAGCCAGACATAACATATGTGAGAAGTTATCTAAATTTTTCAGCAATAAAATTGAGATGATGAAAGCTTTGCTTCCCCCTAGGTATCATACAGTATTGGTAACCAAGTTGTTCTCGTTCTTTCTTTTTTATTGTTTAAAGCTGTAGCACATTACTCACGTGATTCTTGCCAAAGTTCTATGGCATTATTGTTTGAGATTCACCATATGTGTCTTTGATCACTGCCCAGTAGATACTTTGGTTACATGCCAGTTTGGCACTTACTACTATAAGAATTTGATTTGTTCACTTGCTTCTGATTCTACTCATGCTGTCAGCATACGAACTCTTAAATAGCCATCGCTGGACCAAAGAGACTCACAAGATATCAACCTGTTTTAACTAGACCCTTCTTAACCAAGTACTTGCCACTGGAGAGTATTGATACAGTCAGTCTACCTAGTTATGGGTTGACTGGTGTCTGGAACAAAAATCCCTCCATGCTCTGTTTTGGAGAGTCTTTTTTAAGGACATAGGCAATGTATAACTCTATAATTTATTACAGGGTAGTAATTTATTGTGGTCCTTTTGTACAGAGAAGAGAGAGGGAGAAGGATGGGAGTGGGTGCAGAGAGTATGTGGCTTCTGTCTAGTTTTCTTTTTTGCGGATTAGTCAAGACATCAGAACTATATTGTGAGATTCTGTGGCTCTCTGAGTTAAATTCAGTGTTCTTAGTTCACTTCTTAGTTTAATTCTCAGTTCAGTATTCTTACTTCTTGTTTCCTACACTTACTGCGTTAGAGAGTATAGAAACTCCAGAATGCACTGAAAAATATAAAACAAACAGAATAATCATAGAAAAATATTCAAGTCCGAATTCTGGTAAATATGGAGGACTAAGCTGATCTGAGAGATTCCCCTCCCACCCTAAACACTGATATCAAGGACATACCCATGAGTTAAACATGGCCAAAAGGCTCACAAGAGGGCATAGATCTTGATAGCCCAGAGCTGAAGTTTTAAGAACCACAAAGGAAGATATAATTAAGCCAAGGGCAGTTTGAGGACAGGTAGCTAACTGAACCATGAGCACAAGCCACTGATTTCAAAGGGCCATTCTATACATGGGAGGTGGAAAACTTTCACCAGGCTCTGTGGATGAGAAATTAAATTTTGCAAGAAAATTGAAAGCAAGTGCCATCATGCATGGTTTTCAGTTTCGGATCCTTATGGTACCCCAAACTAAGATTTTGACCAAAAAACTAAATCTTAGTACTACCAAGTCAAACTCATTAGACATTAGCAATGTAAAACATTAAGCAAAGAGTAAAACATTAAGCAAGAGTAAAACCATTCTTTAGGAATATTCCAATAACCCATAAAATATTCCTATAAGAGAAAACCTTCATCAAAGATATATGTATATAAGCAAATTACCAATTATCAAGGAAATATTGTATATACAAAGCAAAACTTCTTTAAAAAATGTAAAGAGAAATTGATATAAACAGAACTATAGTGAAGGATTTCCACTGGTATACTATTTTCTAAAATTAATTAAATAATTATTAATACATTTGTATGATCATATTCTAACTACCTGCTTTCCTTTCAAAAATAATTAAATAACATACTATGCTTTAGAGGGTTATTGTAAAAAATGTTTTTGATTTTATATATGCATATATATATAAATATGGATATTGTATAGCCAATAGTATCATAGTTTCAAATAATTTCAATCAACATTAAATGGGCATTTACAGAATTTAAATCAAATAAAAAGAGAAGAATAAAAAGCATATACAGGAAATAATGTTTTCTCTCTGAAAGAAACTGATACTAAAATATACTGAAAGAAACTGAAAGAAAATATATCAAAATAGTTCTAGAATTAGGATTATGCATTATTTCACTGATATCTTTATGTATCTTCTGTATGTATCAAAATTTCTATAATATCAAATAGAATTAGAATGATAGGACAGGATAGAGCCCTGAAACTTGGGGCATCACACATAATTTGATATTGCTAAAGTTTTGAATGTTTAGAAAATGGGTAGGAGTTGAGACTTGACATGTAACTAAGAGTCTCATCATGAAAAATTAAATGTTTTCTAAAAACATAACTTCTTTCCAAAGGCTATGGGAAACCTCTAAGAATTTTAAGTTCAGAAGTGTTCATCAGATATGTATTTTCAAAAATCACTCAGGCTGTATAGTGTAAATTTGTGAGTGGAAATTAACACAGAAAACCAGGTTGCTGTATTAATAGTAATAGCTAACATTTACTGGGTGCCAGAAACCATGTGTTAAGCACCTTATATATATATATGCTAGTTCATTTAATTTTTGCAACAGATGGGAACTTTTATCATCACGTCTTGTAGATAAGGAAACAGGGGTTAAAGAATTTGCCCAAGATCACTCAGTACCTGGTGGATCTCAGCTTCCAGCACTCATAATCTAAGACCAGCTCTTAGGGGCTTCCCTACTGCATTATGGTGTTGCCAGCTAAAGAGAGGAGAAGTGGAGCAGAGACAAGTTCATAGCAAGAAAAGAGAGAAGAGGGATGGGCTCAAGATGTTTAACTAACCTCCCTTATTGACACAGTGGGGTTGGGCTGGCTTAGTTTAAGGAGAGAAGGGAGTCAAGAACAATTCAGGAGAGCCAGAATTCAATGTTTTCGCACTTAGCTAAAATCGTCAGTAAATCACTACAAAAAACAGGAAGTTTAATTCATTTTAATTAGCCACGAATGTTTACATCTTCTTATATTTTAATGATGGAAAGGCAACAAAATAGAAATGGTTTAGTCATATGATGCAGTGAGAGTAGTATAGAGTGCAGATTCAGAATACAGAACTAAACAGATTTGTGGTTTTTAGCAAGTGATTTCTTTGCTGTTCTGATGGAGCCCAAGTTTCTTAACATCTCACATGGCAAAAGAGAACTACAGTACCTACCACAAGGATTACTTTATCCTCATTTTATCTAGTGCTTTTTAGACTTGTAAGTAACAAGGGGTACGTATTGAGAATATTCATTTTAATCATGAAAACAGAAAGATGTACACTAATACTAACTACAAGAGCGTAACGTGTTGCAATTTAGAAATGTTATGCTCTCATGATTTAACATTAAACTTTTTACCAGTAAAAGCATATCTATTGTCACTCCATTTTATTCATTAGATTAAACTTTCTTAAGGTATTTGGTCTGTGTGGTTTTGGCATTTATATGGTTCCAGAAGACTCTAGGCACCTTTCACAAGACCATTCTTGATGACTTTGATGTCTTTTCTGTTAGTCGCAGGCTACTGAACCCACTGTGAAGAGTTTTACAGTGTGACAATGTAAGTGTGCAAGAGAAAGTGGTGTGGGGGAGGTAGGGAGGTGGTCTGCTCCAGCACTATCTTCTGAACTCCCTGCCTCACTAAAGATTTCTCCAATTCTTGGCTGGGCACAGTGGCTCACGCCTGTAATCCTAGCACTCTGGGAGGCCTAGGCTGGGGATAGCTCAAGGTCAGGAGTTCAACACTAGCCTGAGCAAGAGTGAGACCCTGTCTCTACTAAAAATAGAAAGAAATTAACCAACCAAATATATAGAAAAAGTTAGCTGAGCATGGTGGCACATGCCTGTAGTCCCAGCTATCTCGGGAGGCTGAGGCAGGAGGATTGTTTGAGCCTAGGAGTTCGAGGTTGCTGTGAGCTAGGCTGATGCCATGGCACTCTACCCTGAGCAACATAATGAGACTCTGTCTCAAAAAAAAATTTTTTTTTCCAATTCTAATATTCGAAGGAATTGTTTAGAATTTTCCATTTGAATACATTTAACCCTCAGGGCCTCAACAATTCTGTGCCATGCCTGCTTTAAAAAACTCAATTCTATTTCAGGGATTTACTGCAGCACCAACTTACTGGCAACTTCCTGACTTAACCACTTACCTCTGACAGTACCACTGGCATCTCTGACCACCTATCTTTTCTTTTTCATTAGACTGTTGCATATATATAGACATATATTTCAACCTTACCAATTGCCTCAAAAAATTCCAAAATCGAGTTTATTGGCGTAAAAGCATAAACTCAGGTGAGCTCAACTGGTGGACAAAAATATACGCTGAGCCCCTAGAGGGGCTGCTGTAGCTGGGAATGAACTAAGTCACCCACCACCAAAGGCAAGGCCCCTTCCTTTTTTTTTTAAGCCCCTTTCCTTCTATGTTAAGTGCTGCATCAGGTGAGAAGTCAGTGGGCAGGCACGTGCAGATATGGTTAGCCCTGAGCGGCCAGCATTGTGAGGAAGAGGAGCCACCCTGAACACCCTCTGGCTCGGTTGGTTGGCCCCTTTCCAATTCGGGTTCCGGGGCGTTTCCGGCGTCGGCCGCAGGTGGCCCTGGCGCCCCCTGCCCCTGGCGCCGCCGCACTGCGCAGCCAGCGCGGGCCGGGTCCTTGCAGCCCGCGCTCGGGGGAGCGGGAGGGCGCGCTCCCGGCAGTTTCCCTGCGCGGTGCCTTCCCGCCTCCTCCTCCTCCTCCTCCACCTCCTCCAGGCTCCCTCCCATCGCCGGCCGCAGCCCCCGGCTCCGCCATGGGGAACGTGCCCTCCGCGGTGAAGCACTGCCTCAGCTACCAGCAGCTTCTCCGCGAGCATCTCTGGATCGGGGATACAGTGGCAGGGGCGCTCGACCCCGCGCAGGTACCACCTCGCGGCCCAGGGTGTTGTTCCCCGTCCTCTTGCACACGGACGGCCAGCCCCTCTCCCCTCGACCTCCTGGTGCCGTCGCCCCCGTGTGTGTCACCTCCGCACCCTAGGCCCTCCTTCCTGCACCAGTTCTGTCGTGTTAGGCCGCGCCCTTTCAATGGTTCCCTGACATATCTCTGCTGTGGATTTCTGGACCCGCCCCTCCAGATGAGATCCAGCAAGAATCCCTACCTGTGACCGTTTCGCAGGTCGGCTGAAGGAAATGATTCCTCGTTTCTGTTTCCTTTGGAAGGGATGCCTTAGATTATATAATTTGTCAGAGATAGTGCCCTTATTCTCAGTTTCCTCCTTGTGTTGTGTAACAAAGACCATAAATTTGTCACAATGTGAGGCAGAAGAAGGAATGAAACCAAGGCAGACAGACAGTTAGGGAGACCTAGTAGGATGAAATAATCCATCAAATCATTAATTATTCCTAATGCATTTATTTGTGCTTCAACAAAACTTAACAAGTATGAAAAAAAATTGTAAATAACTGCAAATTGTAAAAGTCTGATTTCAGATTAAAACGTATTCCCACATTGTTCCTAAAGGCCCATATTAAGACAATAGGCAACTTAATATTATCCACACACTTATGATTTAATGCAGTCTCAACCAGAGTGTCAGATAAATGAAGAAAAGTTAGATAAAGAAATTTATTTTTCCCCTTAAAAAGCTTAAAATTTAAAACTTCACAAAATATTGAATAACTGATGATTGCCATGCAAATGTTAGAACATGGAAAAAAGGAGGGGCACAATGAGGGCATAGCTATATCTTTTGTAATTATAGGCACTGGATGCAAACCTTTCTAATTATAGGCACTGGATGCAAACCTTTCTAATTTGTCGTGTGAACAAAATAATAACTTGTGTTATAATATTTTAGTGGATAGGCATAATTGCAAGTATATGACTTTAAATCAATTGTTCTAATATTAGGTATTCATTTTTATATAGTGTATCCTCAGTTCAGTGTATCAATACGTGAAATTGCAATCTTAGCTTTACAGATTGGAATTCACCATTTGTGGATTCTTTAAAAGATACTCTGCATCTCATTACTTACAAGATGGCCATTGTCATCTAACATAAAACTCTGAAGACAATGGGAAAAGGGGAAATTTATCTTTTATCTTCTCACATGTTAATGTGTTTATTTAATTTTCCTACATTCTGTTTTGATCTTCCTATTATATAATGTTTCCCTTAATGTTCTTAACTTTCATATTTAGTTATATAATCAGAAATCTAACTTTTTTTCCCTTAACTTTGACACTTTGTATGGCTTTTGTTGCTGGGTGAAGATTGTATTTCTTTCTCTCTCCTTCTGTTTTCTGACTTATGCATTTTGTGAGCTTTAGGGACAATGATAGAAGATTGGCTTCTAAGTAAGGATGTCTACTTTGTTAAGACGGGGAAGCAGTTTAAGTGAAAATGAGTAGGTTTATGGATCAATGAGTGCGAGGAATAGAATTTTGGGACACTCAATCAGCCTAATGAAGATTTCTTTTTTCTTTCTGGAGAAAAAATCTATGCCTTCTCTAAATATTGCCTTTTAACTCACTGACTGCTTTGCCAAGACAACTTCTATTCATGTCTCAAATACAGTTTACAAATCACTTCTGTTGTCCACCCCTTTTCTTCCTACAGCCTTAATGCCCCTTTCTCTATGTTCTCAGGAATTTTATAATTATGTTTTAGTCCCAGTCCTGTTGAGTTGTAATTTATTTTCTGTCTTATCTTATTTGAACTCACAGCAGCATTTGCACCTGACACTTGGCTTTTGGAAATTTATCATTTTCCTGGGCCTCTCTTCTAAAAAACCTTTACTGCTTTAAACCCTACCTCCGGTTCCTTAGTCTTGTTGGCAGGCTAAGTGAACTGTTTCTCCCTGGTGAATGTTTAGGTTCCCTGTGAGTATATGTATTCCTCCTAGAGCGGCTTGCCCACACTCAACAGTTTTAGTTACTGTTTGTGTATCAGTGTTTTCCAGGTTTACATTCTCATTTTACTCTTGAATTCCAGCCCAGTTATTCACTTCCTGACTTGGTATCATCACTTGGTTATCCCAACAGCAACTCAAACTCAACATCCAAAATTTCATTCATGTTTTACTGCTTTCAACCTTGGACCCTCTCAGTATTTCTTATTGCAGGGAATTCCATCATAATTCATTCAGTTCTGTAAGCCACAAACCAAGAGCTCCCTTCTTTCATTTCCCCACACCCAAAATATCACTGAGTCTGTCAATTTTACTTTGAATTTCTTTCGAACCCATCCATTTTCCCAACTTCAATGCTACCACCAATTTTAAAATGGCATTATCTCTCATGTGGATGACTGAACTCTCAAAATAGTCTTGTTATTCTCCATATATCCCTTTCAGCCCACTGTCTATAACACTTATTGGGAATGTTCTTTATTTCAAATAGAATCATGCTATTTCCCTGTGTCACAACAGTCTGTGAATTCCCATTGCTTTTAGGAATGGACACTAAAACTTGTAATATGTTTTCTGAAGCCTCAAATGTTCTTTTCATTGTATGTCTCAGCAACATCATTTTTAACTATTTTCTCTTGGTCTTGCCACTTTAGCCACAGTGGCCACCTTTGAATACTCTAACAAATCATGTTCCCTCTGGAAACATGGTGTTTTCTCCTCTGCTAAGAAGATTCTTTTCAACTAATGAACTTCTATTCAACCTTCAGCTCTCAACTTGGATGTTACTTTCTCACAAAATCTTTCCCAGACTTTCAAGGCCAGCAGCCTTTGTTATACTTTTATTGCTTGGTGACTTCTTTGTTATATATAATATGAATTATGTGTTTATTTTTGGGATTATTGGATTTTTTAATCACCTGCTAGAAATTGGGCACAGTAAGAGTAAGGAAGGTATCCCCACCCCAGGATTCTCAACACCTAACGATGTCTGGTTAGTTTTTGATGGCCGGTAATACTTGTTGAATAAATAAATGAATGAATGTTTACCCTTCTAAGCCACAAGCATCACATGCTGATGAAGACAATGAAATTCTTCTTAGGACCTTGTTCAGGGTCCAAAGCAATGATTGGCAAATTGTAGTTCTTTCATAAATATTTGTTAAATGGATGCAAAATCAATGATAATGAGGGTATACTGTCAATAGAATTTGGTCTTAGTGCCTGTAGGTGGGTATTATTGTTGTTTGTGTCTTACCTTTTCTTCTCATAGAACCTAGTCATGCTTTGATGGGGAAATGAAGTGAAAATGAATGCCGGAGGCTGTGAAGAGACAGCAAAGAGCCTTAATCAATTGTCCGTTGTTTTTCCATTCTTGGGATACTTCACTTAGTAGAATGGGTTCCAGCTCTATCCAGGAAAATACAAGAGGTGCTATATCACCATTGTTTCTTAGAGCTGAATAGTACTCCATGGTATACATATGCCACATTTTATTAATCCACTCATGCATTGATGGGCACTTGGGTTGTTTCCACTGCTTTGCAGTTGTGAATTGTGCTGCTATAAACTAATTCGAGTGCAGGTGTCTTTTTCAAGGTGTCTTTTTCATAGAGTGACTTTGTTTCTTTTGGGTAGATGCCCAGTAATGGGATTGCTGGATGAAATTGTAGGTCTACTTGTATCTCTTAAAGGTATCTCCATATTGCTTTCCATAGAGGTTGAACTAGTTTGCAGTCCCACCAGCAGTGTAGGAGTGTTCTTATCTCTCCGAATCAATGAGTGAGATGTGCACCGTCTGGGGGATGGTCACACTTGAAGCTCAGACTTGTGGGGGGAGGAGGGGCAAGGGCATTATTTGAAACCTTAAAATTTGTACCTCTATAATATGCTGAAATAAAAAAAAAATGTCCGTTGTTGAATCGGCAGAGAGAACCATGAGTAGAACTGACTCCTGTGATAGGAAGTAAGTTTGCAGTTGAACAGATACAAAGTCTATATTTTGAAAGATTGCTGTGCATGGCAATAAAAGAGTGGAAACCTAGATCTTTTTCTGGTAGCAGCTTACTTACTCTGTGATTTTGTGCATATAATATCATGACTAGGTCTTAAATTTTCAGTTTACATATTAGAGATATTATATTCCTATTAAATTATTAGGATGAAATAAAATATTATAGGTGTATGTGTGTATAAATACAATTACATACAAATTGAAGTTGAACAGTATATTACCAAATACAAAAAGGGTCAATGTGAATGAAGGCTTATCCTACTCCAGGTCCAATGATTAAATTCTTTGGATCTCTACATTTTTGCTAATGACTGATTTTGCGGGAAGGCCTCTTAATAGAGCAAGAGGTTAAAGTTGCTCATTCTGTGATTCCAGCTATTTTTCTTAGGGCCTGTTTTATTTTCTATATTTATCTCTGTTAAAATGGGTAGAATGCAGATGGCTTAATTGGCATGTGTAAGGTTTTTATTACATTTAAAGATCTTGGTAAAGCAATGCCTCTTTGATTTTCAAGTGTGGCTTAAGCAATAGCAAAATCTCTTCCTATATTAATGTCCTATTGCAACGATAAAATTCCCAAAGATCTAAATTCTAACATAAACAATATTTCAAACCTATTATATTTCTAAAATTAAATTGTAGATTATGTGAGATTAAATTTACAGTTATTTTTTATTAAATTCTTATCCATGTTATGTTCGCTGTCAGCAAAAATTATGATTCAAAATAAAGTTATTTGGTGCTAAAGGGTCTCTGGAATTTAACCTCAATGTATTATGTTTCTGCTTAAATGTAATCATAGGATAATGTAACTAAATACTTTTAGCTTGCAGCTATGTAGTCGTTAGTACATTTACTAAATACCTTATGATGATTGGGGAGAAATTTTCAGAAAGGAAACAAACTACCGTCCCACTATTTGTTTTCTATTTGTCTCATGTATTCTTTGTTCCTCCTTCCATTTTTTCCTTCTTTTGAAAGAAGGCAGTATTTTTATTATTGCATTAACATGTGAGTAATAGGCTGTTTTTATATACTCTAAGTTGCTATCTATAAGATGCCAACATACAACCATAACTTATTAAAATATAACATAAATCATTATTATTGCAACTTATTAAAATGGATATATAACACTTTGTTTTATTTAGTGTCTTCTGTTTTTTATATTTTTCTTGTCACATACATATATTTAATCTCTGTATGGTAGGTTTACAAAATAGACTTCTATAGTCAATATCCATTTATATTTATGTACAATATTTTTCTTCCCTCTTTGTTCCCTTATTCATCTAATAATCTCTTCAATCTAACATTACTTTTCTTCAGCCAGAAGTATTTGCTTCAATATTTTCTTTAGTAAAAACTCTACTAGTGATGATTTCTTTCAGTTTTTCTTGGTTGAAATTACACACATGCACACACATATACACATTTACATATATAATGTTTGTAAATACAAATGAATATTGGCCGTAAACATAGATTTATCTAAATAATTAAAATACATGATGGCAGCACAAAATGCAGATTTGTCAATAGATCTAGTGGGAGCCAGAGAAAATGAAATCAGCTTCTTTTATTTTGTGTCAATCATTCTCTTTTCTTATTTTGTGTCAATCATTCTCTTATTTTGTGTCAATCATTCTCTTTTCTTTGCTTTTAGTATTATTATGGTATATCTAGGTATAGTTTGCTTTGAATTTTCTTGGCTAATGGTTTGTAGCACTCCTTGGATCTACCACTTGATGCTTGTTGACTTTCACATGTTTTGGAAATATTTTTTAACTACTTTCTCATAAAACATTGTGATTCTTGTTGTTTTCTCCTTTTTTTTTTAAATCCTCTAATTGAGCCTACAACTAGAAGAATCTTAGAACTTTCGCTGTGCCTTATTGATTTCTTGCATTCATTTTTGTATTTTCATCCTTTCTTTTTTTCTCCATGTTTAGTCTGAATATTTTCTTCTCATTTATATTCTATTTCACTAATTTCCTCTTTGGCTCTATCAAATTTGCTGCTAATCTAATTTATTGAGTTCTTAATTTTAGTTATTGTATTTTTGAGTTATATTGCATTTCTATGTGATTTTTTAAAATAGCTTTTAGGTCTCTTCCACAATTCTCTATCTTAGCATGAATTCTTGAATATTTATCAGAGTTATTTTAAAGTTCATGTCTGACAGCTCCAATTATCCAGATCTCCAGTCAGTCAGTTTCATGTATCTTCCTTCCTGATATGCCTACTAAATTTAAATCAATGTCATACACTCTGATATGAAAGAAATTATAGACATGATTTGAAGCTCTGAATAATATTCTTCTTCTCAAAAAAGTATTTCTCTTTTGCTTTTGTCAAACAATAACTTTAGGTATAATTTACTTTAAGTCAATCAGGTGCTTAGCTGATATGAGGTTCAGTGTACTTTGTTGGTGAGGACTTGTCGTTTTCTCTTTACTCTTACTTTTATTTTGTAGCCTTTCAGAGGTCCTAACTAAAGCCTAGGGTGTCTACCCAGATCTCTCCTGCTTATTGGGACCCGAACTCAAAATACTTCCTCTTCATCCTTGTAAGGCTCCTGGAAGCTCTGATTATCTCCTCAGCCTCTCAGTACTGATACAGATTTGGCAAATATCTCAAGAAGAAAACTCATGCTAAATGTTGGGCTCACCACTTTTTTTCTTCTGCACAATATATTGGCTGCTGAAGTACTCACCACCTTGGCAACTTTCTAAGGTTATCAAACAAGTGTTTTCCGTTAATATTTTATCCATTTTATCTGGTTGTTCTCAGCATTGTTCTGAACAAGCTAGACAGCCATTGGTGAAAGATTAACAATATAACAGGGAAATTAAATTTTAAAATGCCAGCTTTACCATTTAGTTTAAATTATAGAAATATATTAATTTACCATATTGCAAAAAATTTTAAAGTGGTTACATTCCAGGTAGTATGCATACTGTTTACATTATCAATTTAAATTTTAAAGAAGGATTAAAAAAGATTGCTTCATGAAAAATATTTTATAGAAAACTAATAGTTTTCACTATGAAGAAAAATTGTGAAAGGTAATGAAGATATTTTCTAAACAATATGAAAATTTACATTATGCTCAATTTCAATATCTAGTTTTAGAAGAACAATGTGCTATTTATTCCCTCTTTATGTGTGACATAGTTTAATAAAATTTCAACAGTTTAGTAAATAGTTTAATAAAGTCTGTTCAATTAATAATGAAATGGATAGTTATTTTATAATATTTTATCTCTAGTGACATATTTATCTGATGTCTTTCCATTATATGGGTATAAATTTGGTAAAAGTATTTTTTATTATTATTTACATTTTCTTTTTATTCTTATGTTTTGCATTGCTTCTTTTTGTTCCTGGTACATTCTCATATTTTCTCTCTGTGTAAGCCTTTCTATATTTTATGACTACATTCAAAAAGCATCTTGTAGGCTTGTCGATCCTCTTGACTATATGTGTGTGTTTGTATCTGTTTATGCATGTGCTAGCAACTGATTTCTATTTTTTTGAAAAAAATCCTTTTTCTTCTCTTCTTTCTTTGGATTAGTACTTTAATTTCCATTTGAATATTTAGCTCATTTTATTTTAGTTTTTTTAAAAAATAATTGTTTTTAAGACTATACATATCCATTTCTCTATTGTTTTGCTTATATATGTCTTCTAAGCTGCTTATCTGATTACTGTTCATTCTTAATTAGGTGAATTTAACTTTAATTATGTTTGATGTGACTGTTGATAGGTTAATCCAATTTTTTGCCACATCTGTCAGCCTCACTTACCATTTTACATTTTTTATTTTTAAGGCTGTTTGTGGCTTTCTGATATTCTTATTTCACATTTACATCACCACTGTTGTTGGGAGCAAAATATATATTTCAAAGAGTGAACTCACCCACCTTGAGAAAAAGACTGTTTCATTTGTACAGTATGATTCTTCACATAACATGTCCCAGGCATGTTTGCCATTCTCAAGATCCTTTTTGGTAATGTAAGACATCTGACAGATGAGGTGAAAATAGTGAGTTCCAAAGACTTGTAATACTGATTTGAGGTCCAAGATGGGCACAATAAAGTTAGAAAGTTGAAAGGATAGGTATTTGTGGTCAGAGGCTTAATTAATAGGTGAACCATCAAGTGATAATAATAAGCCCTTTTTATGACTGATGGGAAAATGTTGACGCCGGGGATGCGGCCAATTGCCGCCTCCCCATAGTTCCGCATCTCCCGGGGCCAGTGCTGTGCGTGGCCAGTTAGAGGCACGCTGCTGGGGCCAGTGATCCTGATTGGGTAATTTTTGAATCCCACTGTTTTTGGTTGGATGTTAAAGCTTGTTGTTGATTGGATGTTAAAGCTTGTTGCTGATTGGATGTTAAAGCTTGTAGTTGATTGGATGCTTCTTGAGGCCTACCAAGGGTATAAAAGCAGGGGCAGAAGGGCAGGAAGGAGGGAAGAACATCGGAAGACCCGAAGAGAGCTGTAACATTAGGTGTGTTGAATCTGCTGTGGAAGAATAAAAGCTGTTCTCCGACTCTTCGAGTGCTGCTCGGTTCTTTCCCCGGTCAAATGAATAAGAGCTGTAAACACCAGCAGTACACACTGCTGCAACCAGATGAGTTAATGGTTGGAATGGAGTAAAAGTCCAGTGCATTTCACTGAAAACCCAGTATTGGATGGAAGGTCCACCAGGACATTGAATACACTGCAGAATGTGTTTAGATTTGGGGGAAAGATAATGATGGTGAACTAAGTTCTAATGGCCTTGATATATGAGAGATAAAAGTCATCAAGCAGACATAAAAGACAATATGGCCAGATAACATGGATAGCAAAGAAGCGCAGGGGCTTTTATACAAGTAAAAAAAAAAAAAGAAAAGTAACAGTCTTCAAGAAGTAATGGAAACTGAAGATGCTGTCCATCTTCCAGTCACTAGGCAAAGAAGAAGAGACTAAGCAGCCTCTACATGGGAGGGTTGCAGGTGAGTGCTTTTCTCAAGGGTAATCAAGGCCTCATTTAAGGCCAGGAGATAATAGGACTGTTTGTAAAGAGGTTGAGAATGTGGTGGAGCTTCTTAACTATACAGCTGATTTTCCAGATGGAAAAATAAAAGGACTTGAATCTCACCATAACATGAAAGAAAGAAAACCATGGAGGGTTCTACAGGAGGAGTAGATGATTTGAGGGAATAACATATTGGGAAATGACTTGTTAGGACTCTGAAGTAAGGAGGGGTTACCAATTGACTAAGTCTCAGCAGTCTCATGGTGGCTGTGTCTGTTTGGGTATTTCAGCATTAGCCAAGTCCAGGATTTATTGCATTTCAAGACAGTCCTCATCTCTGGAGCATGAGTCCTCTAGATCTTAAAGCCACCTTTAATTTAAATTGACATATATGCACTTTTTTTTTTTTTTTGAGATAGTCATGCTCTGTCATCCCAGCAAGAGTACAGTGGCATCATCATAGCTCACTGCAACCTCCAACTCCTGGGTTCAAGTGATCCTCCTGCCTCAGCCTCCCTGGTAGGTGGGACTACAGGCAGGTGCCACCACACCTGGTTAATTTTTCTGTTTTTTGTAGAGATGAGGTTCTTGCTCTTGCTCAGGCTGGCTTGAACTCCTGAGCTCAAGGAGTCCTCCTGCCTTGGCCGCCAGAGTGCTAGGATTACAGGCGTGAGCCATTTCAGGCTGGCTACTAATATGCGCTTTTGAAGGAAAGTTCAAGTCTGTTCACATTTTGATTTCTGAAGGGAAAATACCTGGCTTGTGCATGCTGAGACCAAGGCCAGAAACTCAAGGGGGGTTTCTGCGCCATTAGGAAGTGTGCTCCTCAGTGTTTCATATGAGATACAGTCATTTTATATTCTTTATTACAGTCATTTTATATTCCTTATCTGTTATTTTTAATCAATTAAGTTTTGTTATTTTGAATGTTTTTCCTATTCCAAGGACTTTTATAGCTATGCAGATACCCTTATTAAATGCTCAATATGTACCAGGAACTGCCTAACTTGTTTACATGTAATAGCTCATTTAATCTTCGTAATTATCCATTTTACAGATTTAGTAATTGTGGCACAGAAAGCTTAAATAATGTGCTCATGGTCAACAGCTAGTGAACATCTGACCTAGGATTTGAACTTAAGCAATTCTACTTCCAAAGCCTGCAATTTTCACCACTATGCCAGTACTTCCTAAACTTTTCTGGTGATAGGAATCTCCTGAAGTGTTTACTAAATACCCAGGAAATTTCGATTCAGCAGTTCTGAGTTGGAACCCAGTTATCTTTATTTCTACTTCACTTAATTTCAGTAAATACTATGTTGGTCTGTGCTGTTACCCCACTAGCTGTTACCCCACTACCCCTATATCTGCAGTCAAAAGGTCATGTTTCCTCTAACCTGTCTTTCCAGAGCCCCTGGCTCCTGCCCATGAAAAAAAGACTGCTGTGAGTTTTGACTTCCCTTCTATCCTTTTTTAAGGTTGAGACTAGAGTTCTGCCTGGAATAGTATTGCATTGGATACAAAAGGAAAAACAACTTGGTTTCCAATAAATTTCCTGTTTCCTTCAATCTTCAATACTTTCTGTCCTTGGATTCCTGTTGGCTCCCGTATTCCTTGCTTTCTCGGATTCCAGCTGGCTTTCACATCCTTCCCTCCCCCTACTCTGTGTTCTTGTTTTTTTCATTAGCTCTGAGGTCCTCCAAGTCTTCTGGCTTTCTTTATGCTTATTCACTCTGTGCTGTAACTTTCTCTGACCCTTTCTTCTTTCTCTCCTTGTCTACCCCCTTCTAAGCTTAGCTGTTATTTTTGTTTCATTTTATTTTCCTTAATCTACCAAGGAGCTAGACTGTGCATACCCATATCTTTATGGGTCACTGTCATGTAACACATGGTTTTGAAAAGAGATAAAGCAAAATAATATATTTGGAGACTATCATATTAACAGAAATTCTGATTTGAAAGTGATTGTTCAGAACGCCTGAAGCGCTAAGAACAAAAGCAACGTAGGAGCTCAGCTTCTTATCACTGTTCTGACCATGTTTTGTTGGTCTAAGTAGGAGATGCAAATTAGCTGCTCAAGTGAGCCAAATATAACCTCTGGAAATATTTTGTTTGGTTTAGACTACACTTAAAATATAAGTACATATGAATGCCTTTAAGCAGCATTTGTAATATTTATTCATATACTTAGCTGCTTTAGGCATCAAGGTTATCTTCTTGTACCTATGGACATTTGATTTTGTGATGCTTGATGGACAATGACATAGGGATATTTTAATGAGACCATCCAGGATATTTCTGAACATTGGCATGTTTTTCAACAATGTAGAACCTAATCATAATCACTCAGCACGCAGGAAATTGTCTTTAAATTACCAAACGGTTGCCATCTTCCCTTTTAGACGATCTCCATTTTTTCGAGCGATCAGCATTCAGTCCTAACTAAACACTCAAGTGTTTTTAATTTCTGTTCTTGGATCTAACTATTTGTAAGCCAATTTTTGTGTTCTTTTATTACAGAAAATAATATTGATTAGTGGAGCTTGTTCTCAGAACATTAATTCTAAAGCCAGACTTTGTATAAAAAGAATTTTATGTAAAGATGATTTTTAGAATTATTCAGATTCTTGGAGGTTTATATTTTTAATTCTTTTTTTGATATAATTTATATGAATGCCAAGCAATAACAAGAATGGAAAAGCTCTTTGAAAAATAGACAGAATCTGTGGTTTCTAGGCAAAGATGTAGGGACCAGAGCTGTGAGTTCCAAACACTTTTGATAGGAGGAACTGAGATTTCCTCCCTTGCAAGAACTGGGCTCTGGCATTCTGGTACTAGCAGGGTGGTAACGACCATTGTAGGGGAGGTGTGCAAAGTGTTATGAGAAATTGAACCATCACAGCATCTATACCAAGGGTACTGCCCAAGCCACATTTTCATTCTTCATTGCTATGTTCTTTTAAAAGCTCATTCCTCCATTCTGCTTTTTATTTAGATCACTCTTTTTTTTCCTGCAATTCTTTCTTGCAATTCATTTGAAAACACAAGCCTGTAAACTTGTTCTAATTCAGTGCGTGGGGAGTTAGTGATGACAATTGTAGTCTTTATGGTGGAGGTGGATTTGAAGGTCAAGTGGGATTTGAATGCATAGACAGCATTCCTGGTCAGAGTAAGATGATGGAAGATTTATGGGCAGAATTAGTAGAGTGAAATCATGGAGAGTTACTCCTTTAGTTATATGTATGTGTGTCTCTTTGTGACTATGTATAATCTATACCTGTATCTATGTTCATCTATCATCTCTTACAGTAAAAACATGATGCAAAGGCCTCATAATCTTAAAATTTGTTTTATATTTTTAATGTGATGGGAGATGTGGTCCATCACTTTTTACAAGAGTTGAGCCTACATTTCTCTAGTATCCTTCACCTTTCCCTCTGCCAATACCAATTCTTGTGTCACGCTTCGTGAACTTGTCCTGTTCTTCACTGAAGCAAGTTCCCTACCAAATATGGTTGAATAGCTTAAAATGTCTCTTTATTAATTATATATATAATTGCATTGCTATATTGGGGTCTTCTTAAAGGGTGCAGCTATATTTTATTTACTTTCCTGTTATTCTGAGGACCTACATAGTTAGATCCTCATTAAATATTTATAGAAGTAAATAGTTTATGTATTATAAATATATCAAATATTCATGGTATAAACTTCAGGTGATTTTAGCCAAATTAACTGCCTTTTTAATCAGTAAAAAATATGTAGTTTATTACATCAAATTAGTAGTTTTATCTCTTTCTTATTATTTTTCATATTGGACTGTAATGTCTACTTTTAAATTCTGGTGCTATTTTTAGGAAATTTGAAAACTTATTTGCATCCTTTCTTGGCTACTGTTGTAAAGGTCAGGGAAATTAGAATCTAGCTTTTCATGCATTTTCTATATCTCTGTATTTATTAAGTTAATTCACACAGTGCATGATGTGAATGTTCTGTCGTGGCCTGTTTACAGGATGGAGGATGAACACAGAACATAAAACACAAACCCGCAGAATACAAAGAAAAATGCAGACACACATACAAATGGTTGACTTGAGTAATAATCCACTGGGTCCGTTTTATTTTTATACTCTAAAAGATTAAAGTTAGTTTCTTGTATTAACCACCCAGGCGTGGCAGTGATAGCCATAAATTCCAGAATAGCCTTAGGGAAGCAGGTATCCCCTGACT